CAAATAAATTAACTGGCCAGCGCATCGAATGCCGGTGCGAATATGCGTTTTTTGCACAGTTCCCCACAGGTTTTTGTCACTAATGGCACTGTTTTTTCCAGCAGATGCCTCTAACTAAAAGAATTGAGACTAACCGCCACGATTGTTAGAAAACATTCCCTTCGGCTTTCTAGCTTTTCTGGTTCCCGAGTTAGCAACTTACCCGCCAAAAATTTTTATGGGCCTGTGTGTGAGAACCACGCACACAACTGCGGGCTGGTTTTGAAGTCATTTGATTGTATGTAAGTGGGGGAATCCTCTCAAAATTCCAGCTTTCTGGCTTCTCACATTCCCGGGTTAGCAACTTACCCGCAAAAAATCTTCACGAAGCTGTACGTCGGGGTTGCGCTCATCCGGGGGTTGGATTTGAGCTCGTTAAGTCCTACGTGGACAAGGAACATCGCCTTAAAATTCCAGCTTTCTGGCTTTTGAGGATCCCGAGTTAGCAACTTACTCGCAGAAAATTTTTTCGGGCCCGTACCTACGAACTGCGTGGGCAAGAGTGTCCATTTTGGGGATTGTGGCCCATACATCATGCAGAATAAATTCCCAAAGTTTCAGCCTTGTAGCTTTTGTAGGTCTCGAGATGAAAAATCGGTAGAGACGCATATACAGACAAGACAGACACATACACACAGACAGCCCCTTGACAGTATGCGTTCTTGCATTGCATAGATGCCAAAAACGCATAAAAAGGAATGAAAGTAAATATCTGAAAGTGTAATATTATAACCCAGGCTGGAACGCATCAGGCTTGCCGGTGCGATCATGCGTTTTTGCATTAAACTCGCCGGTCGCTAATAGCAAGAATGACCCTTCGCTGTAGTCTAACACTTGGGCTCATATTGGCATGCTTTGGCCTCTTCTGACATGCAGGAGAAGGGACGTCGGTTGGGTTGAAGGTAGCGCATTATAGAGCCGCATGATTACCAGTTTTTTGTATGAAGCCCGGTCGTTTTTTCGGTAAATTCTCGCTTTTTGAAAAAATGCAAATTTCTAGTTCACTAAAAAGTGGAAATGTTGCTAGAGCGGTCGTTGGCCAAAAAATCCGAGTATACAAATGAACTGGATGTTCATTTACATGTTTGGATGAGGGCGGTCGTTCGCTGCAAAACACACTTGTTTCTGGTTTTTGGTAAAATCGAGTATTTATCATGCCCACCTGCAGAAAATTTCATCTCTAAGCAGAATTAAGACCATGCTTGAAGGTAGATTATCCCAGCGAAGTGTCAGCCTCATATCTTATCCGGTAAGCGAAATATCCACTTCGCTACAAATATCTTTGAAGTGCCCTAGTCGTAACGCAAATGCAAATCGGTACTCATTTCAGGTATACGATTTTCCATATGGGGGATAAGCATGCTGACAAGATTTCAGCCACTGTTTTCCGACAACTTTTCGAGTTAGCTGTGCCATGTTACAAACTTTGACTTGATTGTGTGCGTTGCACAAACGTGCGCGACAGCTGAATTTGAAATCATTAGCTCGCACATGCACAGAGAATGTCTGTGCAAGATTTCAGCTTTGTACCTTGCCTGGTTCGCGAAATCGTTCCCCGCCAAAGAAATTTACATATTTTTTGGGGGTCCGTACGCGGGGTCCAGACGTGTGTGAGAGATTTTAAAGCGGGAAGGAATATATACTCAAAATTTCAGCCTCCTAGCTTTCTGGTTGCTGAGATGAAAGTGGGTGACGAAGTTTACTCGCTTCCGAATACACACATACATCTCGACAATATGCATTTTTGCCGACTGTAGTAGCGCTATAGCGTTGTTGTAGCGCTGCACAGCAAAGACGCATAAAAAGTGCAGAAAATTAGCATTTTAGTGAAAAGAAATAACTGTAAGTAATGCTAGATTAAAATTTCAAAGCAGAAAAATAATTTTAAGACTTCTTAAGGAAGTACTCATAAAAGGCTTACTAATTTACAGCTGCACAGGAAAAAACGAAATTACACTTGTAGAAAGGGCCATAACTTCGAGCCATAATTTTAATTGTCTGACGAATTTAGAATTTTGCCAATAAAATTTTTTGCAGAGAGAAAATTTTGCTAAAAAGTGCTTCTCAGGAGAGCAAAAATTAACAATTTCAAAATATTAATGCGTAATGCACCTATGAAATTCCATCCATA